CTGCAAATTCTGAAGCAGTTCCAAGATTTTTCTGAATATAGTTACCAGATGACAAGCCTGAAGTTCCCCCTGCAAACAACTGCAGACAGCACATCTATCACTGAACGGTGTCTAAAAGGGGCAGCTGTTTTGCTCCTGAATGTCAATAAAGAGTTACTTGGGCTCTAAGTGATGGCATGCAGAAACAGAAATCAATTACTTCTGCCAAAATAAATGGGAAAGAACAAACTGACAGAAACTGAAAGATTAGACCTTTTTCTTAGAAAATACTCTTCAACAAAAATGAGTCAGTTCTTTTCCCTAATAGCTACAAGAATGCAGCTGATGATAAAGCAAATTCAAAAAGAACTGGGAAGAAGGAAGGCTGCTTTTCTGTGTAAGCAGAGAACATAGTGAATGTGCAGCAGAGCAGACTGTTTCTCCCATCCAGAAATGGAAGCTAGCAGAGTTGAAAAGACGTTACAAAATTAGTATTGAAAGACTAAAGTATTTACATTAGGCCATCATTCTTTGTCTCGTACTGATCTGTACTCAACTTGTGGTGTACCTCTCAGGGAAGGAGCAAATAAAGCATGTGGTCCAAACATGTAACTGGGGCTATACTAAAATGGTTTGGAAATGTGAAGGCACATGTGCTGCTCAAGCATTGTTCTGGTTTTGGCCCGTGTGAGTCCAGCAAGAGTGGAGTTTACCTCTATCGCATGGCAAGAGTTTTCTGGGGGAACTAGAGAAGGCAATAACTGTGGCTCGTAGCTTAGGTGTCAATAGTGTTGTCACAGTGGATTCTACATTCTGCCCATTTTTTCCTGGTAAAATAGGGCCCAGTAGTCTGGTTCTCTTTTGATGAGTAAATTTGAGAGATGGTTGAGGGTGGATGAGGATGAGATGGACGAGGGTCTGTCCTTCATATTCCCATGAGCACAAGGCATTTAGTAATGCTGCTACCCCCAAATATGTGGTCTTTTGCATTGGCCCAAGAGTAGAACCTATGTGGACAAAACATCTTGAAGAGGTAGACTTTTGCTGCAATGGAAGTAATAGTTCTTTCTGCTTATTAGAAACCAAGCTGCCTTTGAGCCAAGAATTTTCTAGGGAAAAGAAGTGAAAATCAGAGGATTGTGTAAGGATGCAGAATATGGAGGGGCAATTCCAAAAAGTGCACGAGGGCTGTTTTCTAGCTGTCAGCATGTATGACGTGTAGATAGTAGCTGTAGATAGCTTTTTTAACTTTATACGGCTGTCAGTTTACTTCTATAACTATATGTAAAGTTCCGTGCAGATGTGTGTCCAAAAGACAACGCTGGAAACCTTCAAGCACTTTTCAGATCTAAATACGTTTAATGAAATGGCATGAACACACAACAGTCTTTCAGTTTCGTTGCACAGTTTAATATGCAGTCAACAGAAAAGTACAAATTAATAAATGCTATTTCTCCAGAGCACAGAAGACCTTTTCCTTCATGTAAGAAGTGAAAACCAGTTTACTTTTAAAGGCAAGAAAACGTACTCTAATGTCATATGTCTAAATACATACACCGACAAAGTAATGGATATTTTACCAATATTAGACATAAACATGAACTAAAATATGCTGGCTATGTTTTATTTAGCTGAAAAATTACAAGCAATGTGGTTAATACTAATACAGTTCTTGAGGCCGAGATAATTGTATCTACATCCTCAGCTGCAACAGGTATTAAGCCAACAGAGATTGCGGAGGTGAATGTCACTGGATTGTCCTGGCAACCAGCTGCATGCACCAGACCTGTTACACTGGACTGGTGAGACTCTAAGAAACCAAGTGCTTCCTGTGGAAAGTCCTTGGTACTTTTTTTTATCATAGCTCCCTGACGAATGTGGTATATACCCTATGGCTCTTGGCCCAGTGAGTGTTTTGCTGCACAGTTCAGTATGCCAGGAAGATTGTACTCGCTAGGACCCGCTGCATTTTAGCTTTGTGCTGTGGCTGGGATGGCTGACCAATATTCTGGAATCTTTTAAGGCTACATTGAGGCCTGTGACCTTACTAGGAAGTAGATGATCCAGCAGGATCATACCAGGAATCCAAACACAAACAATGCAACTGCTACTGCCATTATAATTTACCAATCTGACCAAAACACACTCTATTAATGAAAGGCCCGGTTTTCAAGTTGTTCATTGTATCTACATAAGGGTTGCCTGCATAGCTGTAGAGCTGTTGCTAAGATCTTCTTGTATAGACAAGCTTTAATAACAGTGTGTCTGCTTCTCTCATGGAAGCAGTTTAATGCAGACCAGTAGCAAGCAGAGCTTCATTCTCCAGCTATGACCAGCCACCTCTCTTCATCAGCATTCTGGGGGAGAACTCAAATTGCCCATGGGTTTCTTAATTTGCTCATTTGGTGCGAGAAAATAAAGTGCAAAGATCATGTTTGTTGAGAATTATAGTTGTAATACAAGGCATCTGATTGCATCCTGATTGCAGAGAGGGTAAAAAAGGAGGAGCAGGAGATCTTTGACTTTTACACCATCCCTGTACTTACATGACCATACCAGAGAAATTATAAATCTAAATTTTGGTGACCATTTATTACCCTGGGCTCATATGACTGTCTAATGTGAAAGCCTTTCCTGGAAATTTGAAAACTCTATACCACATTCTCCCTGTGTGGTAACTGAGAAGTTTCTATGCACTTCTCTTTCTTTTTAAGGGGACAGACATCCTAGAAAGTCTTAGTTTGTCTTTGGTCAAGTGCAGTGTGATTGAATGTAATACAGAAAGTACATAACATAGCCAGTTCTTGCAGCATGCGACTTTGGCAATTACAGGTCTCTTGCTTTCAAGTTCTCACCTGTCCTGTATTGTTTTTTTTTAATGGATCAGCAGCCAGCCTCTCCCGTGTACCCTCATTGGGTATAGAGCCAGATTTGGAAAATGGAATTTGTGAGCGTGTTTAGCACGAGTGATGAAGCCTCCACCTATATAATATAGTACTCTGTGAACCTCAATTTCTTGCTCTTACTTTCACACACTAATTAAAAATCTGAGACCACTGTCTAACTGTGTCTATAAAGAAAGAATACTGCTTTCACAGGGAGGAAAAATGGGAGGACTTTCTGAAAACTAAGGATAGGTTTCCAGGAGGGCTTATCTGTCCTTTAAGTATCTATAAATTAGTGTCAAAGTTCAATAGTTCCACCTCTGGCTGCTGAGCAGTTCCCACAATGTGGCCTTATGTAGTTCTGGAAATAAATTAATGTTTCTACTTAGTCAATGTTAACTTCCCCATGAGCTTTTGAAATGGCTAGTAACATATTTAATGTGGATACTACTGAAAAATGCATGGGATCAAGTAAAGCTTTTTGAACACTAAGCACTTCTTTATAGTAATTAATCTTTATAGAAATTACTTTTTTCTCAGCCATGAATGTGTATGTCCATTCCATTCAACTGTAGTCTTTTGAAAGGATGTTGCCCCAGGGTAGAGTTGCAGAGTACATAGTTGCTGAAGATCATTAGCGTCAAGCTTCACCTTACCAGTTCTGCAAAAAATTTAGTCAGCCATTGTGTTCTACACCTCTGGTGCTTACTAGCTGTAACCTGGCATTTTGTGTGTTTTACTGTGTATTCTTCTTCCTATCACTAAACAAGCCCACAGAATTTTTTCCTTGAAGGTGTATATTGGAAATGACACGTTTAAGACAGCTTTTTAGGTTAAAGTACCTCTCCAAATTTCTAAATACAAATATCAGCTAAATTTACAAAAACAGATATAGTGATTATAACCTTTCACAGGCATTACAGATATTTATTATCTTCCAACAAGTATCTAATTTTGCTAATCTATATAAACATTTTTATTACAAAAGAAACATTTCTAAAAACCTATGTTGTCTTATTTATCACCATATATGGAGTTTATGCTAGGTAAGTAAATCTAACTTGTATTTAAAACTTTTTTTTTTGTTTTAAGGTGTTTGTGTTTGCATATTTAATGACAAAGAACTGCATTCTTTACTAATAGCAGTTAGTAATTGTTTTATGAAAATAGTATTCTTCTGTAACTACTTTTCATTTTAATGAACGTTGTACAGTGTTAGCTGCCTCCTGTTGTGAGGTATCAGGCCTTGTGCATAAATTTGTTGATCTGCATATAATCTTAAGTAAGAATCTGGCAAGTAAACAATAACAAAAAAGGCTAAGCAAAAAATAACTGCCAAATGTATGTAGCCTAATTTATGTATACCACAATTCTTTGTTTTCTATTGCTGCTAGTGTTCTGGCAACCTGGAAAAATTAACATCTTGGGAGTCTGCTGTCTTCTGTATTCTTCAAGGAATGTGGGCTTCACACATTTTGTTTCATCATCTTAGAAACAGATGACACATAAAGCTCTATATCTACCAAGGGTTTTTGCTTTCTCACAAGACAGCCAGTAGGAAACTAAAGGTGATCATCATTATACCCATTGACTGATATGAAATAATATGGACTCTTAAGCAGAAATTCCTATGTTGCCTGGGTCATGTTTTAGGAGGAATTATTTTGTTACAGGTACATAAACGGGTGATGTGAGGTAAAAGCCCATTGTAAAACACATATTTGCTTTTTGCAGTTTAATTTTAGAACTGCTGGTAGGGAAAATGGTTAGTCTTTGTAACAGAACATGTAGTCAAATGGTTTTATCCATTTTATGACAGATTCTTGTACATTACATTCTAGGAAATAGTCTCTTGGTAGATCTATGAAAGATGCAAGATGCCCAGACTTGAGTTTAAGTGTATTAATCTCACCACAGAAAATGAAAAATTTAAAACAAAAGCACATTCAGATTTATTGAGGCATTTCAAGAACCAGTTCTGTAAACTAAGCAGAAATAATTTTCAGCAACTGCTAATGAAAGCATATGAATTTTTTTTTATGATTTTAGCTTTAAGATAGTTAAGCATGTACAGGAAATTAAGAGGGAGCATGAAGAAATTGAATTGGTATGTTTAGAGTTTAAGATTTCATGTTATCATGGTGAATAAGGTGGTGGTGACTGATCTGCAGCAATTTTGTCATAAGCAGGCGGAGCACCAGGTACCTATGGTAAGAAAAATGATGTGAAAGATTGAAAAAACAGTTGAGGTGCAAGAAAATGACATTAAAGATGCAGCGAGCTATTGACCTTCATATCAGATATGGTACTACAACTGAAAATAGCTGAGCTCAATCATTATGTCTTTATTTTTTTTAAGGTTAGTTTTTGCTAATTATTTTTTTTGTTTTGCATCACACTAAATTAATTTTGTTTGTATCATTCATCCAAAGAGAGAATTTTCAGTGTTATAAGGACGGGAATTTTTTTTTTTTTTTATATTGAGAATTCAGACTAATACTGAAACTTTCCTTTAAGAGTCTTAATGCAGGTACATTGTCTTATTTCCAATGTTAACAATTTAGGCAGCTTATTTAAAATTAATTGTAAATTAGCCTTTTCCCTATTCTAAAACTATTTAAGCACACCCATAACTTGACATATATATTTATCAATTAAGTTATTTTAACTTTTTTTAAATTATAGGTTTGAATGTTCAACTTTCCATAATGATTAGAGGAGCTAAAATCTTCAAGTTTTATAACGTTCCCTGGCAATTCTTGTCAAGGTATAGTATACCAGACACAGTGCATTTGTTTTTTGTCAGAATGGTGAAACATCTATTAGGGAGATGTTTGTTTATTCAGTATATTTTAGCATTCAGGTGTTATATCAGTCTAATAGATTGCATAATGATCATACAACTTAAGAATAATGGTAGGTGAAAGAAGAGAATTTCTTAAAAGAACAATTCTTAATAGTAGATTTTAAAAACCCTTTTCACAGTAAAAATTGTGCAAAATACTACTTTTTAAGTTAATGCAGAGGCATTGAAGACCCAGTCTGGAAAGCACACCCCAACAAATAAATCATCAACAAGTGACTGTTTACCAAGATTGTCTCACCATGTCTTAAGTTTATGTTGTAAGTAAATGAAACCTTGAATTGCTACTTACCACAGAATTAAAGTTTCTGTATTCCTGCAGAGCCATTTTGCAGTCTGGTATTGTTCCATCACCTACCACGGTTCGTATTGTGCCCACACTAGAGCTTTTGTTCTGTGACAGATCATAAAGAAATATGAGGAAGATGAAAGGAAGAAGAGGATGTGAAGTTGCAGCAAATTATGCATCATTTAATATTTGTCAGCACCTTTACTGTATGTATTAGAATCTGGGATTAGGGCCAGACACAATGCCATCAAGTAAAAGATTGGTAATCTACCTGTCACTTTTTGCTGTCTCTGCTGAAACAAACTCTCTCCTGTATTTCCCAATTACATTGCCAGAAAAATGAGAATCACATTTTTTAGGTCCAGGACTGCTGCATGAAATGACACCTTCTCATGTACCTGAATGCCTCCTCCTTTTTATCCCACCTATTTCTTTCTTTAATCTCCAACCTTTTTCTTTTCCATTTTTCCACCATTTCTTTTGTATACATTCTGTACCACTTCTCCCCTAGCCAAAAACCCTTACAAAAATTTGATTTTCAAAACCAGAAAGCAGCAATCTGCAATGAGAAGGAATTAAAAAAGAAATTGTCCTTTTTGCCATGATGTACAAAGCAGGCATGAAAGAATTCTGGTCTGCTTTTTGAAGTTTTTTTTGAGCATTACCGTCATTTTTGCAACATTTCACTATGAAAGGTCGGGTTTTATGTATTCTTCCAGTTCATATACATATTGGATAGATCACTGGAAAGGTAACAGGACAAAGTTATCGGAAACAGCAAGGAAATGAATTTGCTGACTTAGGTGAGAGGTATGTTTTTTAATTCCAAATGGTCACATCTTTTTTGAAATATTAGGATAAGTAAAAAATATTCACTGTAAAACATATAATTGGATAAAGCTTTCACTTAAAAGGATTAAAAGTGGCCTCCCTTTCATAGGAGAGAGGGCAGAACTTCAAAGATAAAGCTTTGAGACTTCTAACAACAGATGTTATGAGAAGGACTGTACCTTTTTTAATATTTTTTTAGAAGACACAAAGTAGAATTTTTTAGAAGTAGCATTTATAAAGCAAACTTCAAACCTGCCCTGCTTTTTTGTAGATCTTAAAACTGCAAGTCAGCTTTTATACAAATACATCATGCATCACCCATACACTAACATAACATTTACTTAGTTACTTGTAACAGTTATTTTTCTTCTCTGCTTCCTAGATTAACTCTAATCATATCTGTCCTTATTTAGGGGTAAGTCTTATGAGTAGTGAATATGTTATTTAAATGAAAGTAGAGAGAACCCGTCATGATTTTGTGTAAATATTAAATATAATGCTTCCTAGAGATCAGTTTTTCCACTGATGTGTTGGGCAAAGTTGGGCAACTGGCTTCATCTCACTATGCTTCTGCTTCCTTTGCCTCACTTGCAAGTTCTTCAGGGCAAGGTGTGTTTCATACTGTGTGGTTTTACCTGTGTGTAAGTCAGTGTATATATTGCCTGACATAATGATGTCCTATTACAGATTTGATATTCTCTGCATTAATGCAATGCAAATAATGATATTATGTTGTCAAAATAATAGCATGCTGGGAAGTGAGCTGCCATGCTTACCCGCAGACTTTTATAGCCATTACGTCTTTTGTAATAATAGCAGCCAAAGATAAGTAAAATTGCCAGCACCAAAATGAAGAGTCCAATACCCAGAGCTCTGTTGGGAAAGCAAAACAAAATAATTGACACCAGAACTAGATGCACTCTTCTGGGAGCAAGAATTATTAGAGCAAAAGTTTGTATCAGTATCCTTTTATCAGAGGAAGGCATGGAGCAGAATTTACCTCAGAAAACAGAGAAAGTATTAATAACTTCAGCCAGTTTCTGTAGATTAAGCAGTTACCTAAATTGTCTGCCAAGTTCTTAAGCATTTTAAAAATGAGGAATATATTGCTTTGAAGATAATAATCTACCAGTGACGACTACTTCTAAAAAAATCCCTGCCTGTAAATCCAGCAAACAGCATTGCGAAGTTGGAAGAGAATCTGAAATAAATTAAATGCCACACCGGCAGAGACACAGCTCATGTTTATTTGTTAAATTTCTCTAGGCAGCAAGTATTGAGAAATATATCCTAATTGCATCATATTGTGACAACTGGGGACAAAAGGATTTTTTTGATACATAAAACACTACACAACGTCAAAACCCGAGTAAGAAACTTTGAATTATTCATAAAGAGCTCTATAATTCTTTAGTTCTTGTTTCGTGACGTACTAGGCACAATATTGGTGTCACTGGGTCATTTTAGGCAACGTAGTCTTTGCGAGCTGTGCTTCCCACTGCTTACCAAGGACTTGGGAGAAGTAGCACAGTTCCACTATCTGTCAGAAAGCAAGCTGACAAAGCAGTTGCAAGTTTCCTAGTCACAAAACCCCTTCCTCCTGTGCTAATATCCTCTCTGTTAAGACATACAGAATTCATTCCCCATTTTTTTGTTCTTTGCCTGTTCAGGAACAGCAGACTCTGCAAAACGCTCAAAAGGAAAAGAGGACAGGAAAAAAAATGACCACATGCGTCAGGACAAACCCACTCTAACATACTTTTACATATCTTACATAGAGTTGCCCTGCAGTAATCAGCACCAGGCTTTTCCATGGGGCCCGAGGAGTGGGGCATGTGACTTATGAGAGACCTTTTATATCTATTTTCTATCAATCATTTTCACTGACTCAGAGTCTCATGAAGGAGTGTTTCCTTGTGACCTAAGAAGCCTGAAAGAAGATGCAAGCAGATTCATGTGGCAGAACAGGCTGTCTTTTTGTCTGAACTGCCTGTGGGCTGTTTGAAGCATGAAGCCTCTTGGAGCCAACGGGATTTTCTTTTTCACAAGTACCTGAAGCTTGCAAGTTGCTCCTGCCCCTTCAAGGCTCTGTGTTGGCTGGAGATCTGTTTAACCCAAGAATAGAGCTCACGGCATTCACTTGCTTTCTGGCGCAGCCGTGTTGCAGCTGGTCTTCAAAGTTACGAGATGGCTCCACTGGTTTTGTTACTGTCCCCAGCACAGTAAAAACTTGAAGAGACTACTTCTCCAAGCAACTGCTGCCTTTTCTGCATTTTGAGACTGCTTTCTGATTTTCATGTGTTCTGTAGTTTTAGCCGTCCATTAGCCTGTATCCCCCATGGAATGTGTGTCATTTCTGGAGTTGGTGATTTTACCTCTGTATTTGCCATCTAACTCCTTCCTATTCAGAGGCTAGTATGAAAAGTGCATATGCCATTTCTTGCAATTCCAGTTAAAGTTGCAGCTGTGATATTCGTAATCTGTGCTTATATCTTGAATGCTCCTTCTGGTACCGGAAGGAGAGAGTCACTTTTCCCTTGCGTATCTAGAAAAGCTGCTTACAGTTGCAGCCACTGGAATTCATGGCAGTTAGAGGTGAGCGTGCTTAGTTTCAAGGGCTGAGACATGAGTAGCCAGCTTTCTCTTTTGGAGAACCGAACTGCTGTGGAAGGACTATGAGAGTGCCTTCCCCTTTGTTTATTCTCTCTGCCCAGGGATGAACACGGAGAAGCAAGTATCTAGCAGTAGGGGGGGGGGGGGGGAGGGGAAGGGAAGGGAACAAGCTACCAAGTTTGGTGGCCAGTAAGCCAGTACCAGAAGCACATTCCACATACAGATATCTCAAGCACATTGGAAATATTTGTCTAAAGTAATAAGAACACATCACCAGTGGGATAGTGCCTCTAGTAATCCAACACTGAACATATTTAATTGTAAGCCAAAACTAACAAAATATTAGCTTGAATTAGTTCTGCTTAAGTGGAGTCTCACCCAGAAACAATTTACTGAGAGTCACATTTGTATGTCATTGATGTCTCCATCTGCTTTTTGATGGTATTTTACCATTATTCTGGGGTATTCACTTACATTATTCTTTAGGGTGAGACAATGTCCCTTTGAGGTTCTGAAGAGAGGTATGTGGATCTGGAAATAAAACTTACTGTAAAGATCACGTCGCAACAGCCTCAAAAGAAAATTCTAAATAAACCTCAATAAACCTAGTGATTTTATTATAAAGGTTAATGACTTGTGATCAAACTCTAGATTCTTGACTTCTGTAATTCTGATTTTTCTTAACCGTTGAGGGCTCTTTATGATTCTGCAATGACAAACATTAGAGACAACTACAGGATAGCTAAAATGTACTCCACCCATATACAACAGTGACTTTTCCTGATACTATTTTGTACATTTCTTTCAATGTAAATTTTTTTCACCAGCTTACACACTAACATAGGTTTTGCTTTATACTTACTCTTCTGCTGCAAGATAGCTGTATCCTTTCCCTCCGAAAAAGTCACCATGTGGATGGTGATTTCCTCTGGGCATTTTGTGAGCTTGGTCCTGCTCAAACCTACAGGATAGAAATGCAGTGCCTCACTGCAATAAATAATTTGTTATCTTTAAAGCATAATATCATCAACTTCTTTGTTTTAAGGGGAGCATTTTAGGGAGGCAGGGCAATCTGATATCTTTAGAATCAAGTAGACCCATATACATATGCCACTGTCCCAATTTAAGGCAAACCTCCAAACTGTAACTATAGTCTACGTTTGAATAGCTCCACTGACATCAAGGTATTTGCACCTGAGTGCAACAGAGAAGAATTTGACATGGTCTCTTTAGATACTAAGCAATGGCAGACTTCTGAAATAAAATCTTTTAGGAATATAGAAAGAAATGCAATTTACCTAGACAAGAAAAACTATTCAGCAGAAGAAAAACTAATATTGTCCTTACAAGTAGTTGTTTCTTTTTTTCTGTTACTCTCTGTAAACGCTGAAGGGCCAGGTTTTCAATTAGCATAAACTCTCAGAGAACTGTTGATTTTCGGATGGTTATACTAATTTATATCTGCTGACAATCTATACTTAGATGTGCAGTGAATTTATATTATAATCTTAATTTCCAGTCTTAAGGGAATAATCATCCAGTTAAAAGCAGTCTGAACAGTTAAAAATCTAATTGATCAAATATAGTGACGAAGAAATCCACAAGTAATCATGTTTCTATCATTTAAACAGCACAACAACAGATCCTACTTGATAGTATCCAGCTAATCTACCTACCTTACACAGGTAAAGTATAAAACCCAATGACTTTACTGAAGAGAATTCTAGCCAAGGAAATAAAACATTTTCAGAGTTCACTTAGAGACAGTTAAGCCTCTTATGAAGTATAATTTTGAAGCAACACAGAAAATTTTGGGTAGAATAAAAAAATATAAATCTTACCTCCGTCAGACCTGTATTCTGTCTGTTAACTGAAAGGCATGTACAGCTTTCTTTTCCTTGACTTAGTCTGTTTTTTCTTCTTTGATCTGTTCTCTTATGACTATCACGAGTTTAAATTCCTTTCAGTACAGCTTCTGAATGCATTAATTAGCATGAAAGAGGCAAGGAGACAACTTTTCTTTTTCTTTTTACAGTCTGCATCCTTCCCTCCTAATAAGCAGCTCAAAAATCTATTTCTTCATTTATTACATACCCTCTGAGAAATTGCTGAACACCATTGTACCTGCCTAGTCAGTACAAGCTCCTAGAGTGGGCAGACTACTTCTAAATTCAAACTTGTTTTGATTTAGGGCTGATTATTTTGCGACAGAGGGCTGGTATAAACAGTGTTTTCTCATTTGTTTAACTATAGCTTTGTATATGCCCACTTTTCGCACCATTGTAACATGGAAACTAGTATAGTTAGAACAAAACTCATAGATGTATACCATGATAGAAGTGATTAGAGCAAGTACAGCTTAATGCTCTACTGGTAGCAAATGCTGCAACAAAAAGAGAGTCTGTCCCATGGGCTGCAGAACTAACAAAGCCTGGTTTCCAACAGATTAGTGTGAATTGCCTGTGCTCACGCTGCAGTAATTCCATTTACAGCACCAGGCAAGAAAAAGCAGTCTGTGATTAATTCAGAGGTCTGGGTGCTGTGATGGACCAGCGGTGTTAGTTACTGCCAAAAAAAAAAAAAGAAGATATAGGAACCATGTTCTGCTTGTCATTTCTCCCAGTGAATCATTAATTTGGGCCTCTCTATCCTGCCACAGATTTTTTTTTTTAAGTTTGAAGA